AGTTTAGAAGACACTTTTTGACAAAATTAATCGCGCCAATAAAATTTATTAAATATACTTTATAATTTTATATTTTTAAAAATCACACAAATATAAAATTTCAAATATCCCATGATTTAATATAATTTTATTTGTGAAATATTAAATAGAGAGAGAAAATATAATAAAGAAAAAAGTACAATATTAGAATAGATATAATTAATAAAATATTATTTTTATTAAAATATTTTATATTTTAAAATATCGAATCACTTTCAAAAGTGTCTCATAAACTAAGATGAAAAGGGAGTAATAATTAGCCATCTTCAAGAAATCCACAAGTTAGTCAAGCTCAAAGAATGAAAACCTATTCAGTGACTACAAGTACATATTGTCAATGTAGAATAATGTTTTCTAACTAATTATTTTTTAGCTAAAGTGTCATTGTCAAATTAAAGTTGCATCATCAGATTACCTTTGTCATTTCGCTTTGCAATAATTTTCTTTTTTTGTGTGGGTAGTGATTAATAATGATCCAAATTCCAAACCCTCTTAATATAATAGAAGGGCACTTTTTCTCCACCTTAAAATGAAATTTTAAATCCCAATAATATGATCTTTCTGTTAAAAAATATAAGGTATTTTTTGAGGAATTGGATGTTAAAAAATGTAAGGCAAATTTAATTTTTTGAAGTATAATCATTGCCTTTTTTTAAAAAGTATCCCTATTGATAATGACTTTATATTTATTGTAGAATATTTAATAGGGATAAATATGAAAAGACATGATTAGTTAAAAAGTAGACAATTACTTTATTGGGAGTGAATTCGGTTAAAAATAACTTACATTTTTTAATGGAATACTTTTGTATATATGAAAAAAAGCTGAATTTTTTTGACACTCATACAAAGAAATCATTGTTACAAAAAAAAAATTAAAGACTTGAAAACAACTCTTTTTATTGGCAAAAAAAAAAAAAAAGAAAACAACTCTTTTTCTTAAACATTATTTTCGCGACCCCAAATACAAGCTTTAATATAGCTCAACCAAATTCAGTAATTAAATCCTTAAATAATGTTTGCTCTAGGATTCTTCAATAAAAAGACAGCAATAAGTTTATGTTGAGAGCTTCAATATATCTATAAAAATTGTTAAAAAATTATTTACAATTTATGAGCATCATAACTTATCTTGAGTTGCATGAAAATGCTCCAAACCTAACTCTAATTAATTAATAAAAATATCAAATAGTAAAGGGAAAAATCTCGTATACTCCAAACACCAATTATACCTGGAAAGGCTTCATCTGCTGAAGAAATATAAGACAAAGAGAAGGTGACAAGAAGAAACAATGGCACCAAGAAACAAGCCTTCTCCATTGAGAAAACTCTGATTTTTAATGCCACAATCTCTTCACTATGCGGCAAATGAAGAAATTATATCAAAGGCTTTGAGTGAAACAATAGCGGCAGAATCGCACTGCTATATATAGGAAGCTGCTTAGCTTTTAGATTAATCACTAATAACACGTCTCTTAGCTTGTCTGCTGCATTTTCATGGGGTTTGATTTTACTGTTATTAATTGTGTAGTCTGAGATTACAGGTTTAGAGACCATTTGTTAGTTGACAATTTTTCTTAATATGTATATAGCCACCGATTTTGTCGTTGTTAGTTCATTTTCTCCATTATATTAAATGAGTTTGTTAGCTTTTGGTAGCCACCTAGCTTGCTTCTCCATTCATGAGTTTCTTTTCGTATATCTAGGTACTTTAATCTTATATATTTAATATATTTTTATTCAATAAAATTAGGATAAGTAAATTTTAATGTATTAATAATATTAATATAAAAATAATATGTAAAAGATCCACAGACTAAATTGAAAAAAAGCACATTAAATATACAAGATTATATATATATATATATATATATAGTTATGTACATCTAATGTTAAATTAAACACATGCATGCATCAAATTGGGTGTGATAAGTTCCTTGCTGGAATTAATATCTTACTTATACTAATTAAAGTGCGAGAATACATGAAGCCTTCAATAATTGCGTGATTTGGAAAGGTTTCAGCTATTGGATACATTTATTAGAATCCTTTTCATATATAACTAGAATTCACATCATTGATCACGCCACCGGTTGACTCTTGAGCATTGAACTAAAAGTCATGTGACATTTAATCATATCACTCTTTTTTTTTTTTTTTGCCAACTTAATCAGACCAGCTCTTAATATTTAAGATGTATATCTTTCGTCCAAAAAAAAATGTTTAAGATCATATATATATATATATAGATATAGATATGGCAACCATATCAAGTTTCATATGAAAAGACTTCGAAGATTTATATGAAAGAGTCTACACACACACCACACACACACACCCCAAGTCCAGATTATATATATATATATATAGGGATTTCTAACCTGAGTTATTATATATAGGGTAGGGCAGATTAATTAGCACTTAATTAGCAATGTTTCCAAGACTACATTTGTATTTAGGACCAAAAGACGGTCGATTTTTTTTTTTAACTACAGAACTAATAAGTAAATGGGGTTTAAATTATTTCCTTGTGAAAATGTAATTTTAATGGAAGGGTATTTAGTCTTTTTCTTATAAACACAAACATGCCCGAACATAAAATAAATGCAAGAATAAAAGAAAATAATACCGTTATATTCCTATATTTTTACTGTCATTTATTGGAAAATAAAGTATTTTTTGGTGCAAAATGTGGAGGACCACACTTTGAAGGTTAGCATTCATTTATTATCTTCTATTATTTTTAAACATGCAAAACAAAATATAACTTTTAAGTACTAGAAAATTTCCCTGTATTACATGGATATCAAAATTTACACACACACAACTTGACCAATAAAAAAATTAAGGAAATAAAATTTTAACTTCAGTTAATTTCCAACTAATTATAAAAATCTTCAAGTAAAATAAAGAATTTTCAAAGTAAAAAACTAATTAAATAATTGAATGAGTCATTTTGATATGCTTAAATTAATTACTCAATGGAGATTTCTGTCATGTCTTTGAAATTTTATGCTATTTATGAAAAAATAAATTTAATCATATTTATAGGATACTTTACTATTTTTATATTCATCTTTACCTGTTCTATCTTTTAAATACTAAGAAAAATTATTAAAAATATTTTTTTATTTTTATTAAGGGTAAAAGGTAAAACTTATTAAATTTTAAGATATAATTAATAAGATTTAAGATTTTTTTTTGTTTCAATAAAATATACTAAAAGTGATTTATAAATAAGATTAGATAAAATAATTGAGTATATATTATGAGAAGACTTTAATTTCCTTCTGCCTCCTTGAACAAAAACAATTATTATCCTTCTGATTTGCCAGCATATTACTCACCACTACATTAAAAGCATACTCCTTTAGTTTAAAATATAAGTACTTTTTCCCACTACTCTTAATTCAAAATATAATAAATTTAATATTGATAAAAAAAGTTCTCATTTTATCCTTTATATTTATTAACCTAGATTATTATGTCTATAAATTTATTATCTTTTTCTCACTTGTCATAATTAAAACTAAAAGTAAAGAAAAATATAATATATAGTTTCATGGGAATAAAATTTTTATTTGTATGCAAATTATTATTGTTAAAAGTTACTTATTTCCTCTGAACCATAATATTTGTCATTAATAATTAATTCACATTTTATAAAAAAATGTTAGTTAAAATATTATTTTTCTAAAAATGTCCGCATCTTTACAATTATATCTTTGAGTTTTTTTATTAACAAGTTCATGATATTTAATATAAAAAATTTAAAATAATGAATAAAAAAAGGCATAAATGGTTTAAAAAAATAAAATTTACCCAATGCACTATATTTTGAACTAAAAGATACTTCTAAAAAATGACTTATATTGTGATTCTGATAGAGTATATTTTAAACTGAAGGGATTTTATTTTTGCCTACATAAATTAATGATTCTTAAATAAGTAGTGTTAATAAAACATAGTGCAGAGAAGAACTGCCTGCCTTTAATTTGTTAGTGCTGTCATATTAGCATTTTAATTTGGAAGTGCGAAGTGCGAACACAAGTGAAAATGACTGCTGACTTATTTTTTGTGTACCCTCCCTGTTTTTAAATAGCACTGTAAGCTAAATTTTAATATGATTTTTATTTTTTATAAAAAAAATAATTTTCAATAAATATTTATAACATTTTTAATTAGCCTTCATTAAATGATAGCGTCATTAAATTAGAGAAAAATGAAGGATCAATCACATGAGTATTTTAGTTCAAACATTTCAATTTTAAATATAAGATTTAATTAATAATATTTAAGTTTTTGATAAATTTTTTTAAAAAACAAGTTTCAAATGTTGATTCAGACAATTATAAATAGAAATTCCATATGTAAAGTGAGACTAGTTATATTTAAACTTTAAATATTCATTTAGATAGACGAATACATTTGTAATTGAGACTTTTGAATTTGTGATTTTATATATGTGAATCGACATTTTCAACTCATTTTTTAAAAACAAAAATTCAAGAACTTTAATTTTCATTAAATCAATCTGACTTAATTCTCATTATCCCTTGTAATAAATATAATAAGATTATATATTATGTACGAAATTACCGTACAGTTCGCAATATGAGGAGATTTAGATCATTAGAAAATGCCTGGCATATTGGCTTTGTTTTATTTTTAATATCTTTCTGGGCGCTTTCTGGTTTATGAAGTTTTATATATATTATATATATATATATATATATTCATGGACTTGACCATGACATTGCTATGCTGAAAAAGTAGCGTTTTTTTTTTTTTAACCTTGGAAAACTCTAAAGAAATTGTGGGCCTTAAATTGCTTTTACATGAAAAAAAAAATAAAGTTCGCACGTGACCACCTAACACTGCTTGGAAAGTGCTAGATATTTACTTTTCAATAACTTCTAAGTTTTTATCTATTTATTCCCCTGAAATTAAAAATACATGAATTTCATGAAATTTGTTTTTAATTTGACCTTATATAAATGAATAAAAGGAAGGGCAATATATATGTAGAACCCAACGATGATGACATATCTAATTAATGGAATTCTGTGTACATAACAGCTCCTAGAAGCTTTATTTATAATAACGGAAATATTCTGGATGATGCCAGACCATAAAAAAGTACAAACGAGAGAGATATCTGGAAATTCAGGTGGCAATTAACATAAATCTGAAGATATAATGAGCATGGATTTATTTTTTTCCAATCAAAAGGAAGGATTTTAATTTTCATATGGGTAATTAGGAATAATAATATTGGTGTGGTGTCTCAAGGATTATTAACTGGAGGAAAGAAGGGCTTTTTTGGGGAATGGAAAAGGTTTCTTCACAATGGAATTGGCTTTGGGAGAGGCTTGAGAAATGGTTTCTTCACCAAAGGAATCGGTTTTGGAATGAAGGGCTTAGGAATTGGCTTCTTCACTATAGGGATTGGCTTTGGAATGAAGGGTTTGGGAAATGGTTTCTTCACAAATGGGAATGGCTTAGGGAAAGGCTTCTTGAATCCGGGAATTGGGAGTGGCTTCTCATCATGGACAGGAATTGGCTTTGGAATTGGTTTTCCATCGACTGGGAATGGCTTCAGTGGAATTACTTTTGGAGGGATCTTCAAAAATGGCTTCTTGAAAATCGGCTTGTGGGAACAAACTTGAACTTCTCTTCCTCATCATGATCAGCTGCAAATAAAAATAGTTTTGTTGATTCTCAGTTAGTCTTTATCAATAAATAATGATGTCAACAAATTATCCTCATGAGATATAGAAATCAATATCAGTGAAAAAGACTAACTTGGAAACTGTAAATTAATTATAGCGTTGATTTCCTAGAAGAAAAATAATGAATAATTTATTTGGCCTTTAGTTACTGTTCCCTCTGTTCCTTTTTATAGATCTATAAACTACTTTCATGAGATTAAGAATATAATGTCAATTAAAATTAGTGAAATGTTAAAAGCTTTTATGATTTTTCAAAATTTCCTTTTTTTGATAAAGTTTATTAGGGGGAGAAGGAGATAGAAAAGTCATTATCAAAGGGAATTTCAAAAACTGAGACGCAAATCTATGTTATATTTAAATTTATATAAGGATCAATATGTAAGGCTTTATCAACATAGGACTGGAAGAAAATACCTTCATTACAGACAAAATACTTTTAACTTTCTTAAAACAATTTATTTAGCATAAATACGGTATTGAGTTATGAGGTGATCAACTATTAAAACTGCATGATTCTTTGTATATTTATTTAAAAAATCATAAAAAAAAGATATAATTGCATCGTTTCATTATTATAAGATATTAAAATATCTCTCATTTTATATATAATATTAAAATATCTCATTAAAAGCTAAAGATCTTGTTTTGTTAATTTATAAATATCTCTCTATAAATTCCCATTGAACCCTATACACAAGAAGTAATTTGACAAATATCTGAACCTAATAAACTTACCCAATTAATTTGTATAAGAAAGAATAAAAACACAACCTGGAATGTCAGAGTCTGCAGAAGAAAAGAAGAGAAGCTGAGGAGAAGAAGAAACAAAGCGCAATGCAAAGTGAAAGTAGGTTTCTTCATTTTCAGAAACTCACTTATAATAATATTAATGCCACACACACTCTCTCTCTCTTGAAGATATATTATGTGTAGCAAATATTAAACAAAGACCCAGAGGCTTGATTGGTAGCACAGTCGCAGCATTGCACTGCTATATATAGTAAGTCAAGCTATAGCTCTGGATTATTACCAGCAAATCACTTTGTGTAAGTTGCATGCATGTTGTCTGATTTTGCTGTTATTGATTGAGTTTGTTTGAGGTTGCGGCTTTAGATTGGGACCATTTGTTAGTTGAGACTATATAATTTGTTTATATATACTCACATGTTATAGTTTTGTCTGATATTAGTAGTCACCGATTTTGGCGTTGAGAGCCTATTTCTCTCCATTAAATGACCTTCTTAGCTAGCTGGCTTGCTAACTTGGCAGCTGCAACATTGATGACTTCAATTGTTCTTTTCTTTCATGATCAACATAATACACCTGATTTACAATAATGACATGGTTCTTTGATCTAAAGTTTAAATATTTCAAGATTAAATGACAAATTTTACTCTTAAATTAAGGTTCTTTTGAGCGTCTATCTGAAATTTCAAACTCATTTTTGGTATAATAATCTCCTTCAACTTTTGAAAATGATGAATTCTAGTCTTTATTATTAATAAAAATTAATTTTAATAGTTAGTTAATCAGAAAATGATAGAAAAAACTCAAAAATTACATAATAGGACAAAAAATATGGATAATAATCCAAAAATTTATAGAAAAGAACTAAAAAAATTTTATTGATCTTTTTTCATAACTTTAAGATCATTTTCTATCATTTTTTTAGTTAACTAACTATTAAAACTAATTTTTGTTAACCGTAGGGTTAGAATGCACCATTTTTCAAAGTAAAAAGGAAGCATTCCATTAAAAATAAATTTAGTGTCCCAGACAAATGCTTGAGGGCCTATAATTTAGGGATAAATTTATTCTTTTGCCCAACGTTATGCATCATTGTTGATATGTGATTAGAAACCTTGAGAGGGTTAGGTGTGGAATCGGATAGAATTCAAAGAGAAGAATTGGTGTTCGATGTTGATGGTGAAAGGTACTGACGCTGGTGCTCATCACGGATTGAATATATGTTGTTGATAATAAAGTTGGGTGGTCCAAAATTAATTTTTTTATTTATATTTTTAATATTTTTTTTTAATTTATGCAAATTTAGAATAGAGATAATCTTCTAACTGATTATTATTTAATAAAATGAATTTTCATTCAAAATATGAAAAATTTAAACTTTAATCCAGCTGCTTAGGCTAGATTATTCAGGCAATCGAGATTTTATTTCATCAAATTGCCATCGCATTCTTATCTGTATGTGATGACTGATGAGCACTAAACCTAAACTTGAAAATTTTCAGATATTTTATAGGTTTCATTGGATGGACTTTTTAAATGAATTTTGAGAAAAAGAGCATAAATAGATTTGACATTACTTATTGATTCAAATTTATAAATTAATTTATCAACTTTGCATTTATATAATCTCTTCATCCATGTTTATTTATATGGGACGCCGAATTTTGATTCAAAATGATATGACGTTAGGTACATATATTATATATTATTCTTTCATCCTAATTTTATTAAATTTGGGAGCTTAATCTTATAAATTAGTCACACTTAATTATCTAAACAATTACATATCCATCAAGCATATAATTATATTGAATAGTTTATGATATACATGGATATCAGATTTCATATGTTTTTGTGTGTGTGTGAATTAAATTTTGACCGAAGAATTTATAAGAAAAGCCTCAATATATATAAAGTCAAGATATAATATGTTCTATTTTGGACCAAAAATAGTCAATCTTTTTATTATTAAAAAACATAAGTAAAATTAATTAATGGTGTGTTTAAGTTATTTGCTTGGTCGTTGATTAATAAAATCAACAAATAAATAAAGGCTTTTCAATGCTTAAACAATATACTAAGAATTGACAAAAACTCAAAGCATCCTAAATCGACATTTGATCTGATCGTCAAGGACATTGAAAATGATTCTTTTTGGGCTTTGGGATTTTTGAAAATTATTGTTCTTAATTATGATGGGTTATTATTGCTATAAGTGAGGCTTTTCCTTGTAATTAAGTAAAAACATATGAACTTGACAACAAAAGACATAATCTGATCAGGTGCTGGTTTAGTGGAGGGTACTCTATAAATTTGGACCGTTATATTGAGTTTAATAATTTAGATTTAATAATTTTTAAAAGTATACATTAATTTGTATCATTAAATTTAATTTGAATTGTTCAAATTTGCAATAAAGATGAAATAAAGGGAAAACATAGTGAAAGAATTACTCCATTTATCAAATAGGTGTTGAGTTAGTAGAAGGGATTGACCCCTCAAAACGTAATAAATTAAATTAAAATTTTTGTTAATAGAAATGTTCACATGTAACATGTAACTGCGTCTCAATATAATTGTCTCTAATAAAATACATATATACGCACAATTAAATAATAATAGTTTTTAACATCCTACCTAATGTTTGATATTATTGATTATTTATTTTCAATAACAGATA